AGGAAATTTCTGATTGTGTAGGCCGAGGTCCATAGTCCTTTTAAGGTACCTCATTACTCGCTCAATAGCTTGCCAATGTTCGTTACTCGGCCTACTTGTAAATCTGCATAACAATCCTACGACATATGCAATGTCGGATCTAGTACAATCAGTGGCATACCTAAGGCTGCCAATGATGCTCGCATATTTTGCTTGTTTGACACTTTCTCCAGTGTTCTTAAACAATTTCACACTTGGATCATATGGACTGCATGCAGGTTTATAATCAAAGTATTTATATTTCTTTAAGATCTTCTCCACATAGTGAGATTGATCCAAGGAAATTCCTTGGTCGGATCTCGTGATCTTGATACCCAGGATCACGCTTGCTTCTCCGAGGTCTTTCATATCAAAGTTATTGCATAACAATGATTTCATATCATTAATGGCCTGAATGTTTGATCCAAATATAAGTAGATCGTCTACATATAGACATATGATAGTACAAATGCGATTCTCAAATTTGTAATAAACGCACTTGTCACTTTCATTCACTTTGTACCCATTAATTATCATTAAGTTATCAAACTTTTCATGCCATTGTTTAGGGGCTTGTTTTAGTCCATACAGAGACTTATCTAACTTACAAACCTTGCTTTCTTGTCCTTGGATTACAAACCCTTATGGTTGTTCCATATAGATTTCTTCTTCTAAGTCACCGTTTAAAAACGTTGTTTTAACATCCATTTGGTGTATTATTAAGTTATAAATGGCTGCTATTGAAATGAGTACCCTAATGGATGTAATTCTAGTGACCGGAGAAAAGGTGTCGAAGAAATCTATGTTTTCTCTTTGTCTAAAACCCTTGGCTACAAGGCGAGCCTTGTATTTCTCAATCGTTCCATCAGGTTTTAGTTTCTTTTTCAAAACCCATTTACAACCAATTGGTTTGCAACCCGGGGGTAAGTCTACTAAGTGCCAGGTCTTGTTAGATTCTATAGAATCTATCTCATCATTAATGGCTTCTTGCCATAAGTCTGCATCCATAGATGACAGTGCTTCTTGAATATTTATTGAATCTTCTTCTACATTATAGGCCGCATAATCGGGCCCATAGTCCTTAGCAACTCTTGCTCTTTTACTTCTTCGAAGTTCTGTTTCTACATTGTCGCTGCTTTCAGTGCTTTTTATCACAGGAATGTGACTCGATTGTGTGCCCCCACTATTTCTCGATTTGAAAGGAAATTTGTCTACAAAGAATTCAACATCGTTTGATTCTATAATTACTCTGGCATTTAGGTCATAAAACCTGTATGCCTTACTGTTTGCTGCATACCCAATGAATACGCATTCATAGGCTCTACTAGCGAGTTTAACTCGTTTCGGATCCGGAATTCTGACATAAGCCAAACAGCCCCAAGTTCTTAAATAAGACAAATTTGGTTGTCTTTTCTTTAATATCTCATAAGGTGAGATCTTACTTTTTGACTTGGGAATTTTATTCAGGACATAGCAAACAGTCAATAAAATTTCCCCCCACCAGTGAGGTGCAACACCAGAATTTAACATGATTGCAACTACAAGTTCAGTAAGAGTCATATTCTTTCTTTCTGCTTTACCATTCATTTCAGGAGAGTATGGAGCATTCGTTTCATGTATAATACCATGTTCGGCATAAAAATCATTAAACAAGCTAGAGTCATATTCGGTTCCCCTATCACTGCGAAGTCTCTTAATCTTCTTGTTAAATTGATTCTCAATTTCAGTTACATACACCTTAAACATGTCAAGCGCTTCACTTTTATTCTTCATTAGATATACATAAGTATAATCAGAGCAATCGTCAATAAAAGTGATAAAATAACGTTTATTATTTCTAGTTAAACTTCCATCTAATTCACATATATCAGAGTGTATAAGATCTAGGGGGTCAGATTCTTTTATAATTGATTTATGTGAAGTTTTTGTTATTTTAGCTTGACTGCAAAATTCACATTTATTGGAATCATTAACATTTAGTTTAGGGATTAGGCCTATGTGGCTTGCATTAGAAATGATTCGTTTATTAACGTGACAAAGTCTACCATGCCAAATATTAAAGTCACACAAAGAGTAAACAGAAGGAGAAATTTTATTCAATTCAACATTCAACTTAAACATGCCATCAGTGGCGTACCCTTTTTCAACAAAAATACCATTCTTAGTGATGGTGTACAGATCTCCCCCTAAAGTTTGATTAAACCCAACCTTATTCAAAAGAAAACCAGAAACAAGATTCTTCCTAATTTCAGGAACATGCATGACGTCCTTCAAGATCAAAGTCTTTCCTAAAGTGAACTTCAGCTCAACATCTTCAATTCCAGCAACATTAATGGTGTGAGCATCTCTCAACAACACTTTCTTATCTTCAGCGTTCATGTATGTCTTGAACATAGCACGATCATAGCAGACATGACAAGTGGCGCCAGTGTCTATCCACCAACCATCACTTCCACCAACCATGTTGATTTCAGTGATCATGGCAATGAGTTGCTCATCAGTCAGGTTGACCTAAGCATTTGAGCCAGCTGCAGGTTTAGGCCTGTTCCTACATTTCTTTGCCATATGGCCCGGTTTCTGACAGTTGTAGCAAGAAAAAACCGGAGCATCATTTCTTTGAGGTGGTGGCTGTTGCTTAGCAAATGGAGCTGATGGGGCCCTAGAGGGATTCCCATTCTTAGTTCGGTTCATAGCATTGCGGTTCTGATTCTTTAAAGGTTTGCCCGTAGGCTTCAGAACTGCACCGAATTTCTTTTTATTGTTAGACACAACTAAGACTTCTTCTTTCTGATCTTGTTTCCGAGCCTCCTCTTCAATTCAGAGGCGAGTTATCAGACTCTCGATTGAAAATTCTTTTGTTTTGTGACGAAGCACATTTTTGAAATCTTTCCAACCAGGGGGCAGTTTGTCAATAATTACAGCAATTTGAAATTGTTCATTGAGGGGTATACCTTCTGTAATGATCTCATAAGCAATCTTCTAAATTTCGTGGCTTTGAGCTTCCACCGACTTCTCATCCACCATCTTGTAGTTCAAGTAGCGGCTGACAGCAAATTTCTTCGCACCTGCTTCTTCAGTATCATATTTTCTTTGTAGAGCCTCCCATACCTGTTTAGCAGTCCTGTAGCTACTGTAGTAGTCGTACAGATCATCAGCAAGGCTGTTCAGAATGTGATTTTTGCACAGATAATCATTCTCGTGCCATAAGGCGATTTCTTTTCGGAGCTGCAAATCATCTGCTGCAGCCTTAGCTTTTGCAGCATCTACTGCAGCCTTAGCTTTTGCAGCATCTGAGTCAGACATTTTGGAAGTCCCGTCTGAATCTGCAAGTGAGTTACCATTAGGTAGTTCAGATGATGCAGAAGGGACAACCGAGATATCCTCAGTCAGAACGTGGGCAACCTTTTTCAGAGTTAAGAAAAACTTCATCTTAGCTTGCCAACGTTTGAAATTGGAACCCTCAAACCTGAAAGGTTTGTCAGAGACCGAAGCGGCCGCAGTAGAACCGATAATTTCCTCAGTTGCCATGGCAGTTATTAAAACGTCTTAAAATTGTTGTTTTCGGATTTAAAAAATTGAGTTTGGCACAAGGAAATTATCGGGACGAGTCGCGTACTAGGTCGCTTTCTTTAAGACGTTTCGCCGTACTGCCAAATTATGCAAAGCAGTCGATTTACGACGACGCCTCCAGGATAAAACAACTCGTTCTTAAAACTTACGATTATCAGTTGCACACTGATAAATCGCTATAGAAATACACCTTTCTAAATTAGTATCTGGCGCAAATAACCAGTCAAGAAAAGAAAAAATTGTAAGATGAAGAGAATAAAGGGAGAGAAGAAGGAAATCAAAATTCGTGTGAATTTGTGAAATCCGATGTGCTCACTACTGAATTTCTACCCTGTATTTATAGGCAACTAGTAAGGCTTAATTTCCATTCCCTTCAATGTGGGACTAAATTGAATCTTAATTTTCATTCCTTCAATGTGGGACTAAAATGAATCTTAATTTCCATTCCCTTCGATGTGAGACTAAAATGAATCTTAATTTTCATTCCTTCAATGTGGGACTAAAATAAATCTTAATTTCCATTCCCTTCAATGTGAGACTAAAAATGAATCTTTTCAAATTCACTTCTATATTAGTTCTTACTTGTATTCATTTATTGCTCATTGATTGTCAACAAATGTTTCCAATTCCCACTCTAATCAATTAAAGTTCCAACAGTTTGTCATACATGTTTTTTTCTCTATATCAATCTTGGCGAGATTCCCACTAACAAGCACCACAAATATGTTGTTTTGATTTAAATCATTAGAGATAAATTACGTAGTAAAGGTTGTCTTAGAATCCCACATCATCCACAAAGAGAAACAATATATTGCCTTCATAACCAAATTTGTGACCATTATATTCAAAACATATTGGTTCATATCAAGGACGGACATGCATATAGGTTGGGTGTGGCTATAGCCACACCAGTATCTTTTAATTTTTTTTAATATTATATATAATAAAAATTATTATTAGAATAATTAATTTTTTATATTATATATAAATACAAAATAATTAATAAAATAAATAAATATTATTAACTCGCTTTTTTTTTCTCTCATTGTAATTATTTTTCTCACTTTTCTCTCTCATGGTAACTTATTTTTCTCTTTCACTCAAATTTCATGATCTCTCATGTTTTAATCTTCCTCTCATATTTGTAAATCTTTTATTTTTTTTCTCTAATTTTTTCACTTGGCTTGATTGCATTTATTCACGAGTGATTGAAAATCAAAGGTAAATTGAGTATTTCAATTTTATCTTTTTCTTTTTTTCTTTTTGAGATGAACTATAAAACCCCAATTTGTTAAAAAAAAATCAATTTTATCAATTTCTCATGAATGATTTCCTTTATAATCAATTGATTTTACTGTTCTATTTATAGCTTGAATAACTATTTTAAATAATTTCATTGTTCTCTTTATAGGATGAAGAACTTTTTTCTTGTGCTTTCTAGAGACAAGGCTACTTCTTTGGCAAATCTAGAAGCATCGGAAACTCAACATCCAAGTAAGAGTATTAAAGTCGTTGATTATGAATTGTTGGAAACTGATTCGGGAATTAGGCCTCTAATTTTAAGCTATCATCCTGACATCCAAAATGAGGTAAGGAAAGCTTATTTAAATATAGGTCGTCATCAAGCTCCTCAAAATTTCGTTTACCCTTGGTCTGCTCAAGGTAAACAAAGACGTCGATTTTGAAATAAAATTGGTTTGATTTGTATGACTGAATTGATTATAGCGAATCTAAGGACCTAGCATTTTGTTTGCCATGTTTTTTGTTTTAAAATGTCTCTAAATATGGGGAAGATCACTTTGTGGGAGAGGGTTTTGGTAATTGAAAGAATGCTCAAAGATTGGCTAATAATGTTACTTCATCAAATAGTCATGTTGATTGTGTGCATATGAGTTACGCTCTCATGAACCCAAACCAAAGTATTAAGGTTGTGTTTCTCACTCAAACTAAGCAAATGAATGTTGAATGTCGTCTTCGTGTAAACACATCTCTTATAGTTACTAAGTTTCTTTTGAGGTGTGGTATGTCATTTAAAGAGGGTGACGACTCTATTAACTCTTTATTTAAGGGGCCATTTATTAATTTGGTGGACACTCTAAAGGAAATTAACCCAGAGATTGCTAGTGTAATAGACTATGCTCCAAGAAATAACCTTATGAGTTCCCCTAAGATTCAAAAGGATCTTTCTGATGCTTGTGCATGTGAAATAACTCAACAAATTGTTATGTGATATTGCAGATGATGTGTTTTGTGTTTTGATTGATGAATCTTATGATGTTGCTGGTAAAGAACAAATGGTTGTTGTTGTTCGCTATGTTAATAGTGAAGATTTAATAAAATAAAGGTTTCTTGGCATTGTAAGTGTTAAAGAAACAAGTGCTAAGTCACTTAAGGAGACACTTGAAAAGTTGTTGTCAATTAATGGCTTGAATTTATCTAGCATTAAGGGGCAAGGATATGATGAATCCAATAATATGCAAGGTAAGTTTGGTGGTTTGAGAACTTTAATCCAAAATTAGAATCCATATGCTTATTGTGTCCATTGTTTCGCCCATCAACTTAAATTGGCACTTATTATATGTGCTAAGACTCACAAAGATGTTAGTGGTTTTTTCGGTAAGGGCAATGCTTTGGACTGGGCCAGAGGCTGGCCCACCATCGGGCACGACTCAACCCAGCTCCTCGTCGGGGAGGCCCAATCCATCAACGCATACGGCGAGCTCTCACACGTCTCTCCCACGCGGGGACACATCATCAGGCAACTACCCACCTTCCGAAGATTGCAGAGCAGTTGACCCAGGGCAAAGACCACGTGTTAGTTTTCCTTACGCCATGTAAGTCCTAACAGTTACTTGTATTGGGCCTAGCAATTCAACCCAGTACAAAGCAATTGTTGGCCCAGCGCTGGAGGCACATTATAAATACCCTATTTCACTAGAAGACCAGGTATTCAATTCTCTACACACTTTTTTTATACTTTCTCTTTCTACTCTGTCTCTTAATTTGGAATCGGAGTACCTTGTAGGCACACCCCTATCCTCTTCTCCACCACCGGCGAATTAAGGAGCTCACAACGTGTTACTAGATGTTAATCATTTCTTGATTCTGTAAGATCAGTGGTGTCGTCTGTGAGAATCTTGCTTTCCTGTTCTTCCTTCAAAAGAAATCCAATAACCAAAGCATACCTCAACCTCCGTTGATCATGGCCAACCCACGCAATAACGACAACATCCATGAAACCGCCTTCACCCCATTCACCAACAATGACGATCACGATTTAAACGTGATCATTCATATCAAGGAAGGGGATGCCAGGGATGGGCACACCGCCTCACCCTCCCCGACGATGTGGCCTTCAATGCCACCTAACGCTTTGACAGGCCGATTGTCTTCCAACAATTCCCTATACCGCCCAACGCCGACCCGACCATGGTGGCTCTATTTGCGACAATCAATCAGACAAACCTGATGATATTCCAACAGAAAGAGTAGATCAGAATGTTGAAAAATGACCGACAATTACGCTATCCCCTGCAGAGACATTGTCGCCCGGTTTCTCACAACCTGTCCCCACGACGGCGAGAAACTCGCCATCCCCCTCCCTCGCGGAGGCTACAGTATGATGAGTCTCGGAGTCCCTCTCGGTGATAACCTGGGCTTCGTCCATGATTGGAAAGGCTTCGTCCCGTAGCCACCCAGAAGTGTGACCACTCTCTTTCCCGGAAAAAGCGACGCTCCCCGACTCCTAAGAGAAGCAGAACCGACGAACGAACTAGGAAACAAAAGAGTTATCCGAGGAGCCCTCCATGCCACAGGAGCCCTCAGTACAACTTGTCCCCTCGCAATCGCCCATCTTAAGAGACGAGGATGACCACTACACTCTGTTGTCCAAGGCTATCAAAGAAAATCACCTCCCCGTCGGGATGGAGAAACCCCTAGTTCTGGCCAACTACGATGGTACAACCAACCCGGAAGACCACATTGAAAGCACCAACGCGGTGCTCGACTACAAGAATGTCCGAGGAGCCATCAAGTGCAGGCTCTTCCCCATACGACCTTGAGGAAAGGTGTAATGGCATGGTATAAGAGTCTTGAGCCCAAGTCCATCCCTGAGGCCTTCATCGGAAACTTCAAGGAGTTTCCCATAATCCTCATGAACTTCTCGGCATCTTCATCGGAAACTTCATAGAAGCGCCGGGAACTTCATGATTTCGCTAGAAACTTCATGAATGTCGCTGGAGTCTTCATGCGTTCCCTGGGAACTTCATGAGCTCCTCGGAGAAACCTCTAGAAAATACATAAATTGATCGAAAATTCATAAAATCCGAAGAAAATACCAGAGACTTACTTGAGGAATGAATATTCTAGACAATGGAGAAAGACTGGCGGCGGTGGCGGTGACGAGCGTTCTTCGGATGGAAGAATTCCTGAGTGAAATGAAGGGGAACATACAAATGAAGTAGGCATTCAAGTGCCCCTACTTGTATCCACCCTAGGCATTTATTGCTCATGACACGTGGCTCTAGAAGACGCTGCGCACATCCTTTCAACTCCCTCTTCTGCTCGTGACAAGAGATGCATGTTCCCTTCCATTTTTGATGCATTGTTGGCCACATCATCCACCATGGACATACCCTCAGGGAAATAGGAAAACATCTAGGACTAGATCTGACGGACAAGCCTTCTTGCGAGCTCCTCACTTGTCAAGTAGTTCCCACTCCTAGCCACGCGCTTCGTCGCCAAGTTCAGTGTTTCGGACACGCACAACACTCCTCCGGACAGGTCCTCGACATTTGAACTAACTATTAAGTCATTACTCCTCAGCTTCAGAGCAACAACTTGGCAGGCTCCTATTTTGGACTGGGCTAAAGGTTGGCCCACCGTTGGGCACGACCCAACCCAGCTCCTCGTCGGGGAGGCCCAATGAAGGCCCAATCCATCAACTTATTTAGGGAGCTCTCGCACGTCTCCTCCATGGTCTCCACGTGTCCCCCACGCGGGGACACGTCATCAGGAAACTACTCACCTTCCAAACATCGTGGGGCAGTTGACCTAGGGCGAAGACCACGTGCTGGTCTTCCTTACGCCATGTAAGCCTTGGCAGTTACTCGTATTGGGCCTAGCAATCCAACCCGGTGTAAAGTAACCGTTGGCCCAACACTTAGGACATCTTATAAATACCCTTTTCACTAGAGGGTCAGGTATTCAATTCTCTACACACTTTCTCTGTACTTACTCTTTCTACTTCGTCTCTTACTTTGGTATTGGAGTACCTTGCAGGTATACCCCCTCCTCTTCTCCACCATCGGTGAATTAAGGAGCTCACGACATGTTGATGGCTGCTGATCCTTTTTTGATCCGGTAAGATTAGACAATATTCTTCTTAATTTGCTAACAAGAGACAAGATTCAAAAGGAGACAAACAAGTAACTCAGTTTGCTAATTTAATTAAAGAGTGCTAAATAGAGACTGATAGTGGATTAAATCAAGAATCGTCTATTGCTAGAACAGGTGACACTCGTTGGGGTTCCCACTTTAGGACTCTCACTAGTTTGATGACTTTGTATGATGCCATTATTGGAGTACTTAAAGAAGTCGGGAAGGATACATTATTTGAAAAATATGGTGAAACTAAGATTTTGCTAGATATGCTTGAGTCTTTTGATTTTATCTTCATGTTATATATGATGGTTGAGATTTTAGGATTTACAAATTATTTGAGTGTTGCGCTACAAAAGTGTGATCAAGATCTTTTGAATGTTTTGTCAATTGTCAATTCTACCAAACAAGAATTACAAGAAATGAGGAATGATGGATGGGAAGAACTTATTTATAAGGTTATGGAAATTTGCAAAAAGTATGATATTTATGTGTCGGATATGGATGCACCGTATGTGCAAGGGAAGAATCCTATACGACATGCTACAACTTTTGTTGTTTCTAATTTGCATCATTATAAACATGATTGTTTGTTTAGTGTTTTAAATTTGCAATTGCGTGAACTCAATGTTAGGTTTAATGAAGAGAATACTGAACTTTTTCAATGTGTTTCATGTTTGAGTCCCTCATCGTCATTTGCATCTTTTGATGTGAAAAAACTATTGAGGATGGTTGAGCTTTATCCAAATGATTTTGTAGATGTTCCGAAAGTGGTGGTGCAACATCAACTTCAGAATTATGTTAGAAATGTTCGATGTGACCCAAAATTTTCAAATTTAAAAGGAATTTCAGATTTTTGTGCAAAACTTGTGAAAACAAATAAGTGCGACAAATTTGATATGGTTTAGAAGCTTCTGAAGTTGGCTTTAGTCTTACCGGTAGCAACTGCAAGCGTGGAATGTGTTTTTTCGGCTATGAAGTTTGTGAAGAGCAGCTATATAACAAAATGAGTGATTAATGGTTAAATGATCGTCTTGTAACTTTTATAGAAAGAGATGTTCTTGAAATAATTAACAATGATGTTATTTTAACTCATTTTCAAGAAATGGATAGTTCACAATATTCATTGTAATGTACTTTATTAAACTATATTATTTCTTATTTTGAATATAATTTAGTTCATACTTTCTTTCGTGTTTAGCCACACCAATATATAATGTCTAGATCTGCCCCTAGATGATATCTCTTATCCTCTAATTCTCAGCCTCGTAAAAGTAAATAGTTGGTGGGTCATCAATCCTTTGGG